GAGAGAAGAGGCAAAAGATGACCATACCTGTTTTAATAAAATGGATCACCGAGGGGCCGGCCCCATGACCTAGTGGTTAAGTTCGGTGCAGTCTGCTTCAGTGGCCCAGGTTTGGTTCCCGGGTGCAGACCAATACCATTCGTTGGTGGCCATGCTGTGGTGGCGAGCCACACACAACATAGAGGCAGACTGGCAACAGATGTTAGCTTAGGGCGAAACTTCCTCAGGAAAAAGAAATTCATCACTGAGATAAAAGAAAATCAAATCGTGGAGCAAGAATGTTCTAACCACTTAATCATTCCTTAAGTAAACAGAGACATGAATGGTGCTGAGCCTGCCGGCCCAGATTTCTCCTATTGAGAATGATAGGGAACTGTGGAGTTCTCTGATGCGCATGACCCCAAGACCAGATCTAGTTTAAACAAAGCGATCTAGGGAAGAGGAAGAGGAAGGGAGTAGTTAAGTAAGTGAGAGGTTGTATACAGGGTGAAAACATTCCAATTCAGGGAGTAAACTTTGTATACAGGATGAGGAGACCGAAAAAGTATCGTTTGGTAGTTAAAAACTGTATGACTCTAGACTACTTATTTAAATTGCCTGAGCCTCAGTTTCTTCTTGTCTAAGTCAGGATAGCTTTTCAATGTTCTTAGCACAGGGCCTAAGACAAAGAGTTCTCAATAAATGATGGCCGCATTAAGATGATGCAAGCTCATCCTTCTGCCCTTGTCCAAGAATCCTCTATTCTAATGGAGGCTAATAGCCCTGCTGGCTAGTCCGAAGTATCATGTTCAAAGCAAAAGACTACAGGCCATTGTCCAGGCCAGAAGTCTAACGCAAACACTCCCTTAGGGTAGGGAGGAACAGAGAGAGTGGGTCTGGCTATGGAAAACTGACTCCCCAGGCAAGGGCAGGGTACTTATTAGATCCACAGAAGGAAGGACATGTAGGCAAATATCCACAAATAAAAGTCTCTTTCTAAAACAATCCAATTTTCTGGACCAATCAGTTGACAATGAGTTGGCCATTGAAGATCATATTTTTCCAACATGGTTCATTTTCTTGGCTTTCCTAAGTCATTAATTATGACCATGTTTTCCCAAATGTGGAAATTCCCCTTGCGCAGATGCCACTGCTGGCCAACCCTCCTTTCCTGAGAAGTCTCCACAGCACAAAAATATTTTTGTTTTCCCCAATTGCCCACAGGGAAAATTTCCTCACTCTTTTTTTCGCCCCTCCCTTAAAGCTGTCTGGCAATTTCCAGGAATCTAAGTAAACCAGAATCTCTTAGATCACTGGAGAACCTTTTGGATGTCCTACTTTTAACATGGCAAAAAAGAATCCTGAACTTTAAATTTAACATTATTAAACTAATCTTAAGAGTTCCTTTTAATAACCGAAGGCAATGGCACTGAAATCGAAATACTTCCCGCGCCTGCCTGAGAATGTGGCTCTGCGACTCGGGAGCTTAAATTATAAACAGAGGTGGCCAAAGTGATTATCCTTGTATCAGAATCAAATGCCATAATGTGAAATGTGCTTCCTACACATTAAAGCCCTATACAAGTGTAGGCATTTGGCAGCAAAGTGGGTATATGATACGAACAGGGAGTGATTATTCAAATCATAAAAATTTGTTAGGCAATTTACCCCAGTTACCTTATTCAGCTTCTGGGTTACCAAAGCGCGTTGCTGAGGGCTGCTGACAGTACAGGTACTCTGGAGATATTTTGTTAGTTTCAGAACATTCATCAAGAAGCACTTCTGTGCCAGAAACTAAATCTAGCTGGTGGGGAGAGGGCGGTAGAGCAATGAATCAGACTGAGTCTCTGCCCTCGAGGTCGTTATAATCTAGTAAAGAAGGTATGATGTACATGCTAGCTCAGTGGTTCTTAACCAGGGACAATTTTGCCTCCCGACTCTCCGCCCCTCCCCCGGGACATTCAGCAATGTCTGGAGACATTTTTGATTATCAGAACTAGAAGTGGGGGTGCTACTGGCATCTAATGGAAAGAGGCAAAGGATGCTGCTAAACATCTTACAATACACAGAACAGCTCCCCACAAGGTTTATCCAGTCCAAAATGTCAAGAGCACCAGGGTTGAGAAACCCTGAACTAGTTAGATTACCTAGAAAAAAAGGACTTGTGGATTGATTGATTAATTGATTGATTGGTGTTGATCCATATGGTAAATGACTTTCACCCTAAGACTCCAGTCACTTTGAATTTGTGCCTATCCCTACCCTACTATAGCTGTTAAATGTCTTTTGAATAAAAGAGTGAATTTAGACAGGTGCTGAATAAACATGAGTGCTACTAGGGAAAACGAACGAAAATTTCTAGTGAATTGTCAGCTCAAGAGGACAAAATTTTTCTAGCATCATGCCAAACATATAGGAACTGCTCAGTGAAAGTGAAGTGAGCATGTTCAGATAATTTAGCAACATTCATTTGCTTAATACTTAAAGCGCACAATGTTGAAGCGTCTTAACGGTTAAAGCAGTCCGAGAGCAGCCGTTCTTCCCGGAAATACTTCACTGTAGACTGTTTGAGTGGCGTACTGTACCATAAAGCGATAAAACGATGTATTTTTATAATACAGCATTCAAAATTTCCACTAATTCAAATTGGTCCTTTCTCTAATGTGCCTAAGTAGTGAATGTTAACGAAGTAGGAAATTTCAAACACTGAAACATTGAGGTGGCCACTTACTGAACTTAGGGAAGGAGGAAGAAGTGTGGCCTTAACTCCTGTGCATAGAATGTGGCTCCTGTTCTTCACCTACAATAAAAGGAAAAACAAGCCAAGCCACAGAGGCACGGACGTGGTGCCTATGGCTTGATATGCATAAGTATCGATAGTAAGAGAATGGTTAAGTGCTGCTCTCAATTAAAAATCAATTAAAATGAAATTATACTTTTAAATTAGAACATGTCAGTGGAGAAATATGATTTCATTTACTAAAATTATTTACACTTTTTTTTCCAGAAAAATGATCAGGTGGTCTAATGTTCTAGTGTTTATGAGACAAACAGAGACATTACTGCGTGGAAAATCTGTACTTTTGATTAAGCATTTACCTTTAATTGTGATATGCAGGTTACCAAGGAAATATTGGCTTTCTTCTTCCACCTATTCGACCTGCATTTTCTCAATGTAAGTTGATGAGTAAGTCAGGAAATGGCATCTGATTTTGTATTACCATTAGCCAAATGTAAGTAGGAGGGGAGAGCTACTGTGAAAATTGTAAATAGAAATAACTAGGATAATCTGCCATGTGGATAATCAGTATCAATGTTCCCTGAATTTAAACACAGATAATGGAGATCACAATGTCCCCAATTTTTGTAATATAAAGGAGAAAAATTTCCTCTGAGTTTGAAAATTTCCAGTGAAGTCTTTGCCCAAACGTGAATGTAACGAGGTGTGTATAGGAGCAGGGGAGAGGGCATTTTACTCTTTCCTTTTCAGAAAGAAACAAATAAATAAAAATTACTTCATTTCTGCAAGAGAGGAATCTTGTGGGATAAGTTCACTAATAAATGAATGGGGTTAAGAGGGACACATTTTTTAAAAAACATCAAAGATTAGAAATTTAGCAGAATAAACCTTGGCTCAGGGAAATATTTAGTATGCTCAGAAGAGGCATAACCAGTAAAAACAAATGTATAATAATTGGTATAGTGCTAACACTGACCAATCAAAACAGATGTCCAACTAAGCCGAATGGACGCGGCCGTAAATAACTGGAATGGTCAGACTAATATGTGCCATCTAAATATCAACCCTGATTATTTTACATGGTCAGGAGAGTCAGCATAAAGTTGATTCATAAACTGAAAAGCATTATGGGAGCACATCTTATTGTGATATGTTTTAGGCGCAGTTAAACTGAGGGTCACAGCATGGACACGTAGATGAAAATAAAAATATCTGCTAATTTCTATGAACTCACGTTCTTATAATTGCTTATGAACTGAGAATTCTTCCTCTCTTCACTTTTCAGACGAAATAGACATTTTAAAAAGTCAAGTTTTGGGTCTCTTTAGACCATCACCAACAAGACCATGCTTAGTTGCCTGAGTGCAAGTCGCTTTTTAAAATTCTAAAATATCTCTTATTTCCATGTCTGGAATGATATTGCCTTAAAATCTACAATGGTTATTTTTAGGTGGTGGAAGGTGGGGTTTTAAAAAATTTTCTGCCTTATTTTCTTTCGTATTTGAATTTTTCCATAGTTTTTTAAATAACTCATTAAAAAAATAATCATTAAGAAAAACCTCTCCCTTCTATTTACTTAGTCACAACTGTAGTTCACAGTCTTTTATCCACTCTATTGGCTGATTGATCTTTTTGAATTTGCTTCCCCCAAACTCAACACCACTTTCATTTTAAAGTCATCGTAAAAGAATCTCTCGGCGAGCGATGTGAAAAGGCAGAATGCCTAACCGTTTCCAGAGGGCGCTCTGTCTTTGAAGGGTTTTCTTTTGTTACTTTTGTTCTTTGTGTTGTCACATCTAGTTGTTTCAGAAAGCTGCTGAACTCTCCAATTTCCTTTGAAAGGAATACCATCACATGGACAATTTAGGTAACCTGGGAACACACTGCTCAGCTTAGATAGTATTTGTAAACGTTGGAAAGAACTCCGGATAAGATAATCTCAGAAATGTTCTCTTGCTGTCTGGTGTCAGAGTGACAAAAGGGATGAGTTAGGAAGAGACTTGGGAAATACTGTGGTACTGAGGCTTACAAATTCTTTACACAATTTTCCTTTTCAGGGTCTGACTCTCATGGTGTGATGAGCACCACGGGCCAATAAAATCTCCCAAGTGTCTTTTAAGCCAAATGGTTCAGTCTCTTGATATTCCTCATGGGCCCTAAAAGGTTATATTTACTTGAGACTGGGAGATCCTGGATCAGTCACAGAAATTAAAAAATAGTTGGTTTTTTTAAGGGTGGCAGGATTAGGAATAATTCATTTTTTTTCTTTTTGCCATTATAGTTGTAATGCTATTTGTGCTCTATCTACACATCTATCAGCATCTAAGTGAAAAACAGTAGGAGAGTGTTCGTCACTGGAAAATTTCAAGGTCAGCCTGGATGACTATCAGGTATGCTCTAGAAGAGACACATACATTTAAAGAAAACTTGACTGAGGTGACCTCTCAAGTTCCTTTCACATTTAAATTCTGCGCTGTACAGTTTACTCTCTAATCTCATGGTGGTAATGCTTCATACCGGAAGGACAGGAGTTTCTTCTGGCCACCTTCCTCCCTTTGTCTTGAATCTGTAGCTTCTGAGAGGGTGGCAGCTCTGAGAATTAAACAAGAGTTGGAGTGGGTGGGAAAGTATTCCTAGGAGACTCAGAGCAGTCCAGCAGTGGAAGGAACTGCCTGCACTCTATACGAGTCACAAGTAATGAGACTCATGGCACTTGGAGCAAGGACTCAGCTAGGCCACTCTTGACTAGGAAAGGGGCATGTATGCACATGTGTACTCAGAAGTATTTGCTTATCTAACCCCATCTCAAGGAGATCTTTCCTGCTTTATATATTGCTTTTCCTTTTAAATGTGGTCAATTGTCTTTTCAATTGTGTAGGAAAAAAGAGAAAGTAATAGTGCACAGGGTGAGACAGAAGAAGAGCTGAAGAGGAAGGAAGGCAAAAACAGGACTATTACACCACACAAGCAGCTTGTTAATTTCAAGCTATTTAGGCACACACACACACACACACACACACACACACACATTCTCTATGTAAAGATGCCCTCAGGTAGATGGGTTCAAGTCTACAGCAGCTTCATTATTTATATTTTTCTTTTCTTTTTTTGGTGAGGGTGATTTGCCCTGAGCGAACATCTGTTGCCAATCTTCCTCTTGTTTTGCTTGAGGAAGATTAACCCTGAGCTAACATCTGTGCCAATCTTCCTTTATTTTGTCTGTGGGTCATTTCCTCAGCATGGCTGACAAGTGGTGTAGGTCCGAGCCCAGGAACCAAACCCGTGAACCCAGGCTGCCAAAGCAGAGCACGCTGAACTTAGCCCCTATGCTGTGGGGCCAGCCCCATTATTTTACATTTTTCACTCAGTGATACAGTCATTGTACCATACCATTTGCAAAAATGAATGTGTCAAGCATTAGCTTACAAGGCTTCCCAAAGCGTATAACCAAAAAAATTTAAAATAAAGTTAATTTGGTTTTAAAAGGTTGCTCAGCCTTTTTCCCTTTGCAAATGGCAGATGCATTCACTTTGACAAAGGCCCACTTGATTGAGGTGCTGAAGGATAATATAAAAATCTTTAAGCATGTTTATAATTTTTTTATAAGTGGCTGGATACCTCGCCTTCTTTTTCTTGTATTTTCTTCTGAAAGGAGGAGTTGATGTTTCCACAGACATCCTAGATTTGAGAAGAAGGAAGGACTTTGGGGAAACGTCTCAGCCAGCTCCGGTGTGCTAGGCAATTAAGTAGTAACCCAAATTGATAGTTAAAACAACTGAAGGTGGAGAGGCTAATTACTCCATAATAATTTTTAAATTTACAGAGTAATACATATTCATTGTAGGAAATTTGAGAAATACAAAAATACACAAAAAAGAAAACCAAAATCATCCTGGAGTAACTACTGTTAACATTCTGATGTATGGCCACCTAAATACGTATGTACAATCACATACAGATGTCATGCTCAATATTTCTTTGAGGGAAAAAAAAAAAAAGAAAAGGCAAAGTGAAAGAGCTGCTGGATGCAAACCAGGAATCATTGTCCACGTATTTTAACCGTCTTCTTTAATGTGTCTTCTCTACCCTTGGGCCCAAGCTGACAATAGATTGTAAATAAGGTGTCAGATTTCCTATTTAGAAAATAACATTAGGGTTGTAGACAATTCCTTACCTTTCCTTTCCTGAATAGAGACCCAAGAAATTGTAAAGGAAATATGATACTGCAAAACGGCTTTATTTTTGTGAGGTAACGTTGGAAGTCCCCATGTTGACAGCTGCAAAGGCAGTCACGTGCTTAACAGAGCAAGGAGCCCTACAAAGGAAGAAGTTAACTTTAGCTTTGAAAATCCTTTTATCCTCCATGATTTTGATGGCTTTAAATTTGTCACCTGAATGCGATATTAACATAATCGTCTGCATTTCAGCTAATGAATGCACCTGCTTCTAAGACTTTATTTTAGCAGTTTTAATGAGCTCTTCAAAAGAGTTTGCCTGGACTTGGTGCTCTGCTAGAGAAATAGCAGCTGTAAGCAACTGACAACACATTCAGTATTTGAATCAAGCTCTGTGAGGTTGTTGAACTTGAGAAGGAGCGTCTGTCTATCCATCTGTCTGTGATAAGGGAGGTGAAGCTGAGATGGAGCTGAGGCATTTGCAAAAAGCACTCGAGTAAGTGAGGCTGGTCAAAAAAGGTTATTCCCTGCTTTGCCATAATGTATGGATTCCAAGCAATTCATTTAGGCTCTCTAAATCCCAGTTTCTCATCTATGTAATAATGGCACCCATCTTATAAGCTTGTTGTAAAGATTAAATGCCTCACCTGTTCTAAGCACTCCAAAATGTTACATTTTATTATAATTATTATGTTTATTATTAAGAAATGTGACTTCAGATAGATCAAGCAAATTCTATTTGATTGGCTGTAGGTTGTAGGGTTCTTCAGTGAACAAGTGCTATTGAGACCTACAGTAAGAAAAAACCCAGGCCGATCTCTTTTACTTAAGTGATCAGGTAGTCTATTTCAATGCCGAATCATACCTTGACCCCACAGTGAAGATTTTTGAAAGGGAAGACGCTAACCAATCTCCAGAAGTCCAAATCCCTAACGATCCCATAAACCATTTAGAATTTAGAAACATTATGTAGGAGTTAAGATACTAGCATAATATTTACTTTTAATATATATTTTGATACTTTTTATTATCTTATCAAATTCACGTCATGCTTGTTTCACTCTGATTTCAACAGCGCATTTTCATGATGATAATCTCCCTCCTCCTTTTTTTCCATGTGCTCCTGGGTACTTTAATTTGAAAAGTAAGTAGTAATAACCCATCCAAAACTCAGCTGAATGGAAAATGAAAAATAGGACAAATGTTTCCTTAAAGATACACACAGCAGATTCTTACAGATCAACTGGAGGTAACACCCTGGAATAAGGTGCCACAGATTTTGATCTCTCTCTCTCAATCTCAGTAATATAGGTAGCACAAAGGCGAGACAACTGTTAAGAAAATGGAATATTCTCCTATTCTCCTTTTATTTCAATAAAAGACAATTATTCTGGCTGAGATTGAAGTAATTTATTTTCCAGATTCCTTTTCCCCTTTCCAAATTCTGGCCAACAGTCTTCCCTCAATAACTGGAACTGGTTCATTGGTGTTTCACCCCACATGCACAATGCTGGAGAGTCACTCAGGAGACAGGACCAGTTTACGAATCTTCACCAACTTGTTATAGGGGTTTCTCTGGAAAGGCATTGCATTCTAGAAACCACCAACTTGAATCTGCTGGAGCAGGCAGGCTTCTGGTAACTGCTTGCATCTCCACATTTCAAAAGATCCACTTTATCCAGACTTGCATGAAGCATCTTTCCAGAAGACATTCAGTTCTACCCTTAGACTTTAGCTTTGTAGTCTGAGAAAACGACCCCAAGGGAGCTTACCTCCAGCCGCCCTTTGACTGTGTTTTGCTACTGAAGGCGAGCTGACCTCATACTGATGAGGACCTGTTGTCTACAGCCTGGCTACTCACAGTGTGGTCCTCAGAAGGGCAGCATCAGCATCAATTGCGAGCCAGTTAGAAACAGAGAGTCTCAGGCCCTTTCCAAGACCTACTGAATTAGCATCTACAGCTTCACGAGATTCCCAGTTGATCCATATGCACATTTAGGTTTAAGAAGCAGCAGTCTAACGGATCTGCCTGAGATTGTTTTTTTCCAGCAACAGAACTCACCATCTCCTGTTCCAAAGTTGTATCCATTCACTTTCCATTTCCAGTCTCTACACAGATTTCTCTGCAGTGCTGCAGGGCAAACTATCTCTATTTTGGATGAGTTCCCAAGCAGTGGGTCTTGTACTGATTTGCATTTCTATGGTTCAGGTGGTCAAATGTGTATATACACAGCCTCCCACTAGCCAAACCATACCCAAGCCCCTCCAAGTCATCTTGCCCTCCCTATTCCCGCAGCTGTAGTGTTACCATGTTCATAAATTATTGTTAAAGAAGGAAATTGCCAAAAGAAAAAAAAAAAGTCTTTATAAACCTGCATAGTTTAGAGCTAAAGAATATGTTAAAATTTTCCATCGTGGAAATTTCCCAGCTACTGGGCTCTTTAGATTTTTTTTTTTTTTCAGAGCTGCAAGCAAAGAATGGAAATTTCCAATTGCAGCATCAAGGGCTGCTGTTCTGCTGACTGTCTTGCTCAGCCGGGGTCATCTGCTTCTCTAAGACATCAAGGAATGCCAAGGTAGGTCTGAGAGAACACTCACTTCCTCTACAGGAAGGAAGGAATGTATTTATGCTGCCTCCAAGCTGTGATGAGGAGAGGGACAGGAGAGGTGACGTGCCCTACTCTATCCACCTGAAGTGTGAATTTTGTTGATTGTTACCACCTATCAACAGCTTATCCTATCTGACATCTTTCCAATGGTTGCTGGCTGGCAGGTATTTCATTTTTAAGAAATCTCTAAAGTGAGGGGGAGAGGCAAAGACAGGAAAGGAACCAATATTTGTTGAGGTCTACTCTTCTAAGTACTCCACCAGGTATTTTATATGTGTTATATCATTTAACATTTATGTGACCTGCCAAGGTTAACTTCTGATTTTCTGTACCCAAGCTTCATTTGGAAGCTTCCTTTGTCCTTCCTGAGACAGCCCTACCTCCCCTCGACCATCCCAGAAACTGGTCATCTTCAAGCATCCCGAGGGTTTCATCCCCACCTCTTCAATGTCAACAGCTCAGTTCCTTTTCACCGTACCTAAGTTGAAATATATTTCCCTTCACAGCTGGTCCTGATGTCTGAGTCAACAGGCGTCTAATAGCTCCCTAAATCCTGTCATGTTCCCCCCATGCACTACTGCTGATACTACAGAAGTCTGATGGTGGCAGCTCCATGGAAAGCCAAGTGTAAAGATGTCAGCTTATTGCAAACAAGGCCACACACCCTGACTGGCTCTAGGCCAGAAACAATGTTCTCAGACCTAGGTTGTGTGACTTTGTCTGGGCAGTTTGGGAGTTTTGGGTTTTTTTAGTGTTTTGCTTTGTTTTTTTTAGATTTTGGGGAGATTCTGAATGACTCTAAGGAGCAAAAGCTACTCTCTTCTTACTGACAGGTCATGTTTCCAGGAAAAGAACAGTTAAGGAGGATTTCTGACATCACTGCTGCTATTTATACTTAACATTATTTATTGAGGTATGTTTGGTAATAATGAAGATATTCCAGCAATAAATTTTTAAAAAAATCATTACATGGCTAGCGAGTTTTAAAAAGAATATTTATTCCCTATCTGCCTTTTCAATCACATCTATATCCATAGATATCAGTGTTGTCTTTGAATACAGTGACCAGTTTTAATGCCACCCATAATGAAGTGGAGGGCAGTGGGAGTGGTCAGCAAGAATATCGTACGTCCATTTAGGCTTTAGTTACAAAGGTTAATATTCAATTTAGTCATTGGTTCCTTCTGTAATAACGATTTTCCTTATCCCCTTAACTCATTAAAACTGAGTCTGATTTCCTAGTGAAATTCATCAAGATGGCATTTTAATATGGGTCTGGGTCTCATATGACATGTACCACACTTGTGACAGGCTTCTTTCTACTCCCCCTCTGCATCTGTCATTAGCTAGAGGATATTGGTCCCCTTAGTTGAAGACAATGATGATTCATCTCTGTGGGTGGGGCTGAATAGACTGATATGCAACGAATATTCCTTTCCACTTTAGACCACAGAGATGACTTTTTAAAAAATTTATAGCTGGAATACATGCTGATTTAGATGCTGATTGGTTAATTTGAACCATGGCCCCAATTTTCTCCCTCCTGCCCCTGCCCCTTGCAATGTCACTTTGCAGCCCCTTCCGTCAAGAGTTAGAATCTATTTCCCCACCTAGGCCACTGAATCCAGGCTGGCCTTTTGACTTGCTTTAGCCACTAGAATGCAACAGAGGTAACAGTGTGCCAGGTCCAAGCCTAAGCCTCAGGTGTGTGCTTCCACTTTCTTTCTTGGAACCTGCCACTGCTATGTGAACAAGGCGAGGCAAGCCTGCCGGAGGATGAGAGACCATGTGGAGTAGAGATGAGCCATCCTAGCTGAGGCCATCCCAGACCAGCCAGCCCACAGCTAATATGCCAGCTGACCACAAATGCACGAGCAAGCTCACCAGGATCAACTGGATCCCGCCTAGATCAGCAGAACCACTCAGCCAACACCGTCTCAAGAGGAGTAGTAAAGGCATTAAGTTTTAAGGTGGTTTGTTATGAAGCAACAGGTCACTAATACAGACAATCGATTCCCTTCTTTTCTTTTTTCTGACTGCCAGGAAGTTCAGCATCAAACTTGAAGGCCAATCACAGTATCTATGTTCATTCATTTATTCACGTTTATTGCACGCTTCATGGTGAACATATTTGCAATCTTCTCTCCTTGGTAGTGAACTCAAAAAACTTAATAACCTATTGTTTGCATGTTGGTTCCAAACCAACTCAATCCTCTGTTTTAAATATTTAGGTGGTTTTTACTTATCATCTGGTTGGAAGAGATGACTCTAGAGCAGGATTGGCAAACATTTTCTGGAAAGAGCCAGCTTGTAAATATTTGAGGCTTTGCAGGCCATACAGTCTCTGTCACAACTACTCAAGTCTGCGGCGGTAGTGTGAAAGGAGCCCTAGACTACATGTAAACAAATGAGCGTGGCTGTGTTCCAAGAAAACTTAATTACAAAAACAGGCAGTGGGCAGGATTCGGCCCTCAGGCCATAGTTTGCTAACCCCTGATCTAGACAAACCTACTTTACTGTGCAAAAACATCTTCGTCTGTACTATGATCCCATCGCCTTTATTGTAATTCATCTCAATTACCTTGAGAAAACGGGTAAATCAGGTGAATTTACTTCCTCTATCCAAAGACCAAAAGGGGCTGATTATAGAGCAATGCTGTATAGAGACTAACAGCATTTGTCCCAGGGCGAGTAATTAAACTGAACGACTTAAGATTCCCTAGCCACTTAGTCCATGACTGGTTATTTAGTTAATGCTAAAGGCCAGGGCAACACAAGCGATGTCTCATTTGTTTTGTTTCATTTCACAGCCTCTAATCTCAAATACTCATTTAACAAATGCACGCTGTATGTCACAATGAGGATGGGGCTCTGGTCGTACTTGCCTACTCGGAGCTCCCTGAATGTATTGTGCTATTTCACGCCTCTCTAGCTCTGCACACAATGTTCCTTCTGCCTGGAACACACTTAGCCCTCTTCTCTTACTGGCTAACACCCACTCGCTGATCAAAACTAAGCTCAGTGATACTGTCTCTTGGAAGACTTCCCTGAGTGCACCTACCTCCTCACCCTCAACCTCCAGTCCACACACTCAGTCTCAGCATTTATTCTACTAAGTTAATAATTAAAATAGCTAATTGTGTTTATATGGTCCCAGGCTCTTACTATATGCCAGGCATTGTTAACTATAGTTGTTTAACTGAAATTATCAGTATACTTGCCCATTTCCCCAGTCCAATCATATATTCAAAAACATTTATTGAGTACCTCCCAACTGTTGTGCTAGATAAAGACAAAGAAAACACAAGCCTATAATAGAGTGAAAACCCACTGAGGGCACCTACTGTGTCTTTTTGCTTTTACTTCTCGACACCTAGCTGTGTCCAGAGCAGAGATTTTAGATTAATATTAGAGGAATGAATGAATGAAAATAGCTAACACTTACACAGTACATAATATGTGCCAGGCAATGTTCTAAGCTCTTCACATGTCTGAACTCATTTACTCCTCGTAACAGCTTTATGGGATAGCTGGTATAATTATCACCATTTCATATATGAGAAATCAAAGTCATGGAGAATCTCTAAGTAACCGTCCCAAGGTCACCCAGATAGTACGTGACAGAGCTGATTCCAGAGTCCATGTTCACAACCACTGGATGAAATAAAAGCTTGAGTGACTCAGCATAAATCCATTGCCACTCTGGGAAAGGTAATTGAAAGGATGCATCCTTGAAGACATGGCTGATCCAGTGGTAGTGGTTATCTGCTTGGGTTTCGGAGTCAGAACTGTGATCATATTTGCACTTGAGTGCTCAGTGTAAGTGAGCACTGTTGTTGGTGCTGTTGACAGTGCCTCCAAAGTGCACCCTCACATTTACTCACAGACCATCATGGTTGCATTCTGAACTCCCACCCGATTTCTCCCACCGCCCTCTCCTCTTCTCAAGTAGGCATGCACTGATGCTCAAGGAGCGACTCCAGCATGACTGCCAGCCTGTGACTGCTGTCTTGACTCTTCTCTGGTGGCAAGCAAGATTAAACCATAGATTCACACATGCTGGCCTATTCCAATGGGCACTTGAGCAAATTAGCATTTTGAAGAAGACTACACAGGAATGTCCATAATTCTGGTGAACCTGGCCGGCCATGTGCATTTGTTTTAAGAGATTGCTGCCAGTCACTCATTGATGGTTTTGGAAGTCCCCATGGGGCCTCCCAGGCAATATGCCACTCAGCGGGGAAGACACAGAGAAGAAGAAATAGTGACTGGTCTGCAGCTGTCTCTGAGGACAGGCTTGCTCTGATGAAAAAGAAAGAACAGGTATTTTAAACAGAATTTTGCTTCTGAAACAAATATGGGTTTGGAAAGTTTTAGGTTTGAGCATTAGGACATCAGAGAATAAAAGTGATCACAGAGTCCCTGCAGACCCTTGAAGTCCACAGTCCCTCTGAGTGTAGAACAAATGTGTCCATTCTCCTGTCCTCAGGAAGTTTTCTTTAAAAAATTGGACTCCTCCCCTTTTTTCCCTTTGCAATTAGGTAAATAGAAGGAGGCAAGAAGGTGATTGGGTTGGTGGCCTCCGTCGATGGCCTAGAGGACCTAACAAAGATGTGCAGGGCCAGGACTAGCTCCCACAAGCTTCCACTTCTCAGTCTGAGGCACAGCAGAGATCAATAAGAATTCAACAGTTCAAGAATCGGCTCTTGCAAGCAACCATGTGTCACTGCAGGGCTGTGCAAGATTGTACCTGCGAGTATATGATAAGGTATAAGATGATGTTGTCTTTCCCTTTCTCCTTGACAAGCTTTCCTCCGTCAATAATTAATCATGGGACTTCTCCAGGAAAACATTGCCTGGCCGAAAGACTTGAGAAAAATATTCAGTTGACCAATATTCTTGTGCACCTGCAAACATTTTTCAGGGCTTGGGTAGAATTTATAGCACCTTATTTTCCAATTAAAATAATCCAGGTTTCATTGTATTTGTAGCCCCTTTCATATAGTTTACCACTGAATAATTCTCTGCTTGTTTCATTACGTAAAACTTGCATTTTCTCGTCTAGATCACAGACTCACTGAGGGCAGATGTCATGTCCATACTCCTTTTGAATCCTCCCCAGCACTAACACAGAAAGGAGGAGCACAATACTGAGTGGTCAGCAGGGAATGGCCACAAGATGGTGTCTGGAGACCTGGTAGTTTCTGTGCCCCCTGCCCCATTCAGCTGGGGATTAGACCTTTAGAAAGCACTTAAGTCTCTGAGATGCAATTTCCTCATTTTAAGATTGCCCCATTGACCTCACTGGCTTGTTGGAAGGATCAAATAAGATAATGTATGTGAAAGCACTTTGTAAACCAAGATTTGCTAGCTACTGAAATGTAAAAAATCAGCAGAAGAGGCATTTAGTAAATATCTAGGTGATTTTGAATGATAAGGTATTATCTTCCCTTCTCCCCTATATTCAATTCCTTTAGGAGTTTTATTTCTCAGGATTTAATTTCAACTGAGTAGCAAACCACCCCACAACTTCCTGATACTGTGTGAAATGTCCCTTAGTGCCTTTTACCCCATAGTTACCTTAAAAATTGAATGAAATCTAAACAAACCAATCAAAAACGTCGCAAAGCATGCCATGGTCACATCTACTACTCAGGGCTCCCGGAGGCCAATGCCTTTGTAACCCACAGAGTTCGGAGCCTTTCTTGTGCTACATCAGCGCACTCAAATTGTACCCTGGACAAGGATTATGCATACTTCTGCATTCTAGCACATACTTGATACATGAGAGTGGCAGATCATTGCTCTAAGCCCAGGCCAGCTGAGAAGAAAGTGGAAAACATGGCACCTTATATGAGAAATTTTACAAAGAGATGACACTATGAACCAGCCTTTTAGTATGATTCATTTATTCGTCTTTATTTTCTATTTGTTCTTAGCGAAGAAGACAATCTCTGTGTATTAACAAAATTCTATATGATACATTAGAAAAATCTTCTTTCCAACATGGTTATTCCTCAAATGTTCTGGAAGATATAAAGTTTGGTCACAGGGTTTTTTCTCACTTAGCTGGAGGAAAAAAATGGAGACACTAAGACATAAAGTAAGTTGTCTTACTCTAGGAATTAGCTTTTAGAGATTTCTGATTCCCTGTTTAATACTCTGGGTCCGAATAACATGAAAGTAAAAATAACTAGAGAACTGATGACTTGTTTCTGGTAAGTATTGTCATGTCTCACTGAAAATTTTAAATTTCGGTATTTTCAATTAATTCATGAAAGCTATGCAAGCCTATTTTTTTCCAAGTTCAATCATAGAGTGTCAACTGCAGGAGTTATATACAGGGTATATATTGAAGCGTTTTGTTGACAGAACGAATCCAGACCAGTTTTGAACTCCATTGATGAACAAATTTATGACACTCTTTTCAAGGGGCATAAAAAGAGGAATCTCTTTGTCAGAATTAACCAATCCAGAACAGTTTTCTTTCAAAAACTGTTTTAAATTCATTTTCTTTTTAAAACTTTTTGTTATGGGAGGTTTAAATATACCAAAAGGTAGAAAGAATAATAAAAATGTACCCAACTTCCACCTTTATGAACCGTCATCCAGCTTCAACATATGGCCAATCTTGTAAAGCCTCATTTTTAATCGATATTAGTAGCCAGTAAAATTAAACTCACATTATACGCCAAAAAACTTTAATGTTCAAATCTAGCATGTTTCTTTATATATTTTTTCCTAAAATAATTTTATTTTCATCAGACACTTTTCTTTCTCACTCTTAAATCTCTCCCACTTCTCCTCTGAGGCCAGCCCCTTTCATGGTCAATGCTGGAGGAAAAGTACTTAAGAAGAAGAGGAAGAGGCAGATTTTAAATTTATTAATTTTTCTCTTCCTATGACACCATGCCTTCCTCCCTTTGCCTAAAATGCGGCAGGAAAATAGTGGTATTGAGAAGCAAGGCGTTTCCAACAACAGAACTGAATCTTTGTCCATTTGCCCCAACAATACAGCAAGTGGCAGAATGAGAGAATGACCCACTCTATTCTTGATAAGAAAGGGAGAGAGAGCCCCAGTGACAAATATTACAACCCAAATGTTTCAAGGTGGGGAGTTTCTTGTATGTAATTGGTTATTTATTCAATTTATTTTCTATATATACAAATTAAAAATTTTTCAGAGTGCAAATAGTTTGCTGTATAGAATGATTACTTTAAGGTTTATCAATACCAGTTTGTAGCCAAATCATACCCATAGGTGACCTAAAATAATAATAATTTTTTAAAAAGTAATAAATTAGATTGGTGTGGTTGAGTAGAAGTTATATGGCTTTAACAAAACTTTGGTTTTTTCTTTCCTATTGTTCTCCATGGTAAAAACAGCAAAATTCCTACCTAGATGGTAACACTTGTACCATTCGCTTAATTTCAGGATCCTTGATTGCTCTTGGGAACAAGTATACTGCTGTGGCATGAAGTGGAAGGTATAATTTGGAGCCAGATGAGAGAAAAAAGGCTCCTTTCAGAAGTAATATATTCATATAAATTCTAAAGTATCAAAAAAAGCTTAATAATTTCACCAAGTAATCTAAAGCTAAATTTCATATGCAAGTTCCTCACAGAACTATAACAAACTTTGTGGAACTCAAGCCCACCATGGAAAAAGGTTTCAAAACCTCTTTTAAAACAAGTGCGTTAGGGATAGCAAGCCACAAAGGGTAACAGAGTGTTACTCATTGTCGTATTTGCTTTATCACCCGTGATAACTTGTTTTGCATTCAGAAAAGACTTAGAGAAATGTAAGGACGAATACTTATCATGATTCATTCCCATGTGGACTTTTAGAGTCCAAGATGATAGCCTTCCTTTTTCCTTCAACAGCCAGGCTCTGAAAGGAATCTAGAGAGCGCAGCACACAGGAGTGGCCCTCAGTCAAAACGGGGCTCATTTCCAGCTCCGCATAAGTGCGTCTACACGTGACGTTGAAGGGAGTGAGCAAAATAAATCTCCTTAAATATTACGTGGTGCCAATGACCCTACCTCACTATTGAAGAAATAAACTGCATTTCTTCCTCAGCGTATTCACACGGAATCTCTGAGATACAGGGATATGGTTATTCAGTCAGAAAAAGCATTTGTTTATTTAAGAGAAGTGAGCGCTTCATAGGAAAACTTTCAACTTAACAGAGGGGGAAAATAACTTTTAAAAAGAATCAAGCCAGTCAACCTAAGGAAAAGGGGGGAAAAGGAAACAACAATGAAGTATAATAAGTAATAAAAATAAAAAGGAAAGAATAAAAATAAATATATCAGCTACTGCTAAAAAGTTGAATGAGTCCAATTTCCCTTTCAAAGGACAAACTTTCAGATGGGGCTTAAAAAAAACAAAATTAAGCTATGTATAAGAAACTCACTTCAAATAAAGTGACAAAGAAAGGTTGAAAATAAGTGGTTGGGCAGATATATGTCAGGCAAATCCAAAAGCAGGAGTGGCAATACTAATATCGAATTCAAGGACAGAAGCATAAAATAGGAAGAGGGTGCAATGATTAAAGGCACTGTGGCAGAGACTGCTGATACCTATGTAATGTCTATTCCTCCTCACCCTTGCTAACAAAACCTCAATTTAATTTGGCACAGCAATGTGTCCAGATAAAAACAATTTTCCCTTCCTCTTTTACAATTGGAGGTAGAGTATAAGTTGTAAGCAGAGGTTAGTGGGTGGGGCTTGTTGAAGTCTAATTCATCTGGAAGCTACTCCTTTCTGAACGTGTTTTTCCTCCTTCTTGACTGGAATATGTATGTTGTGGCTGGAGATGCAGCAGCCATCTTGCAACCACGACTTGTAGAATGGGCACCACATACTAAATTTGGCAGAGCAGAAAGACAAACGGACCTTGCATTCCAGATGACCATGGAGCCACTATATCAGCCCTGAACTTCTCACCATCAGGTATCTTTTATGTTTGAGAAAAATACATTTTTATTTAAGCCATTATTATTTGGGTATCATTTTATATGCAGCCAGCTCAATTTCCTGTGGTATAGATACAAACACAAAAAAATATAATAGTCAGCTAGTATGCACTAAAAAACATAGCACAAAATTTTTAAAAACCAAAACCACTAGAAAGACAAGCAGAATTTGATGAAATGATAACCACAGTAGTAGATTTTAATATACCTCTTTCAGAATTTGATAAAATATGAAATTAAAAATGAGCAAGAATATAAAAGACTATAATGATACCCATAAGCTTATTATACACGCATGCATATGTGAGTATATGTGTGTAATTAGTATATAGCATAAAAAACATAAATTTATACCTTACGTAAAAAGAATATACAATCTTTGTATACGTGTATGGAATATTTACAAAATCAATGGTGTACTTGGCCATAAAAGATAAAAGCATATTGTGGTGTATGGTATAGACGAAAAGTGCTAGAACCAGACAGCCTGTTCTACAGCTTGCTGGCAGCGTGACCTTGGGCAAGTTACTTAACCTTCCTGAGCTTTGTTTATCTACAGAGTAGGGATCATAACAGCTGGAAATTTTATCTGTTATTATAATTATTATCCCTCCCAGCCTAGCATTCTCCAGCTTGATGTCCATTCACCTACACAAAGCTGCGAGCGCCACATGGAAGTAACTTTAGGTAGAGGTGCCAAGCCATCGGTTGGCCATCACTGTTTCACATTGGGAGGGTCAGGCCAGGATAGAAGGTTAACATTTCTCTGATTGGCCTCAACTGAACAGTGAACACAACACTGTCTAGCACAGAATTCAAGAACGCCAAAAGAATGTTAAATGGATGAATTGTTACTTGCAGGAAAAGAAACCGGCACCATGTTTCCAGTTATTCTTCATTTCACACAACAACTAGCTGTTTCCGTTGGCTGGCACAGTGGATGGGGAACACTATTGAGTAAACTCTACTGAAGAAGGATGAATGTGGGCCAGTGAATTTTTTTGACACAGTCCAAGCTTTATTTTTGCTTATTTCTGGCGAGCTAATATGAGGGATGTTAGGAAACAATTGACAAAAACTTTTAATAAGGCTTAAAGGACAAGAAGTCTCTATAGCCCCTCAAAATATAAACTTTTTGTACAAACAAGGATCATCTGTGACCTAAGACAGAACCTCTAAATTTAGTTGTTGGTTAGAAAAAGAAAAAAACACATAAATCTTTTTTTTTTTCCTGAAGAAAATTCAGCCTGGGGTAACATCTGTGCCAGTCTTCCTCTATTTTGTATGTGGGTTGCCACCTCAGCATGGCCACCAATGAGTGGTGTAGGTCCGCCCACAGGAACCAAACCAGGCCTGCCAAAGAGGGGTGTGCCAAACTTAACCACAATGCCATGGGGCTGGCCTCCTATGTAAATCTTTTTTTAAAAAAATTCATAAAATAAAACATTTTTAATAACACAAAAGCAAAATATTAAAGTATTTTAAAACAGTTAATGAAAAGATAGTATTTTCATGAGCAAGTACTTTAATAAATGAAAATGTATGACTATTTAAGAAAACTATTAATTATATATTTTAATAATTATCTCATATAAGTAGATTATAAATATATAGGCTGTAAGTATCCACAATATTTATATAGTTTAATAAAATTAAATTTAATAAAAATATTAGATATATAAAAACTTAAATGTTTATTCTCGAACTTGGGCGAAAAACAGAAGTGAATTAAAGACGGTAAGTTCTCCAAGTCATTTTAGGTCACAAACCATAGAGAAACTGATGTCAACTTGGAATGAATGGGGTATTTGTTCCTTTGCTTTCGGGAATCTGTAATAGCATCAGCAGAGTGATATTTATGTTTTTGCATAGTTTTGTAAGATTCATCTCAAAAACACTGATGAACAAATAGATAAACTAAGGGTGGTTATTATTATTATTATGTTCCAAAATATTTCCTCTCTAGCTATTCCTAATTTCTCTCAGAATTATCTTAGTGTATCAATTCTTCACCAATTTCTATTCCTTCCTCCCTTTAAAAAGTTTTGTGTCATTGCAAAATCAGCTCCCAACTTTCTGCTGAGAATGATCCTCTCGCTCTCCTCTGCAGTCATAAATATCCTTTCTCAGCCTCTGCTTAAGCTGTTGTCATTCATAGAAGCTCCCTCTTCTTTCCATGTGTAGGAGAACATCAAGCTCAGGAAGAAGTGTTTCCCAGCTTTGAGATTTCAGACTTCCTCAGATGAAATTAAAACAATGTACTGTTTCCCAGATGAAGATTCATATAGGGTACCCACTTATCAGGCAGAAAGGCAGACTGGGAACAAGAGACAAAGAGAGACTGAAACAGAGAGGAGAGAGGCAGAGACCACATTTCCCCTGTCTGAATTGTACCAGAAGCCGAGATTCTGTACTTCTTCTGTAACTGTTGATTAGTAATGCTATCAGGACTATGTGAATTATTTTAATTTAATTTGGCAGATAGTAGTACATATTTACTGGATTGAGTTGATAGAATCAGTGTTAAGAACTACATTAAACTGATCAGAAGATTTTTTTTTCGGATCTAGAAGATTATTTTTTTAAGGATCATTTTTTTATTCCAAAGACTGCCTTCCTAAAATTTGTATGAGTGTATCTAACCACGTAAGGCACAGGATCATCTTGCATTCTGCTTTCTCCCGACACGTGGAGGTCAGTTGCCTCATGCTGCCCTCATCCTTGTGATGGGAAGAGGTGCCACAAAGTAATTGTAAAGAATAAAGAAGGATTAAGAACAGAGCAGGGGTTCTGAGGAAAACGCAACACATGAAATCAGGAATCTTTCTTTCCACGGAATTTGTACAGCTTTTTTGAATCTTTCTTGTCCCCTGCTATTTGTTTTCCCCTCACCAGGCAGGGAAATTCAGTTTTGCCTCTTAAGAATTCCATCTGCCTCTCTGAAAAAGGACAGACAGAGTGGAGGGGGCTGGTGGGGGGAAAGATGGAGATTAAAAGTCTCCAAAGTCTGAGGAAGAAGGAAAGTGAAAACTGAAAACTAAATGCCATTGTCGGTTTCTTCCGCAGACATCACTTCTCGTTATAAGATAATTTGCAGTAGATGAAGACCATGTTTGTCAGAATCTAACTCACATCATCATTCTGGGATTCTGATGTGACCCTTTTCCACTTTTTGGTCAATAAAGAAATTCATCTCACCCAGAATCCAATCATTTAAAATGAGTCACAATGCATGACTCAAGATTCAACCAGCTACAGTATTTTTCCTCATATTAGATTTAATGTTTCCTGCAAAATTGCTTGTAGGAGTGTTACTTCTCCAGTCCCAGGTAGTTATAGATTTTTGTTACACTGTGTCTGTTGTGTGAGTGTGTGTGTATATGAATAAAATATGATGTGTACACATATAGTCTTTGAATAATGCTATAATTATAAACATAAGTTTAAAGAAAATATTGATTTCTCCAATTCAACCAAGGAAAGGACAAATTAAAACAAATACCATATTAAGAATATATCTGATTTTCACTTTTAAAATCAAGTAATTTTTACCCAACTTTTGCAAACTTGACTCAGTCATTTCTGATATGCTGGGGATCGAAATCTCCCTCCTACATTTGAATTATTCATCATAGATGTCAAACGTTACACAAAGATTTACGGGGAGTGTGATACTGTGGATCAAGTATGTGTGGCTGCTCCCCAACTGCGTTTGACAGCAGTTCTGTCTTTCAGTGGTTCCTGAAAAGTCTAACCACATGTTTGCCTAAGTCAGAGGCTTTCTTGCTGGAGTTCCTACAGGAGACATTTCCATGGGCTTTCATGGTATGCAAGATAGGTCAATTTGAAATCATATCATCCAACTTTGCTGGGTCTTCAAGTATGCTCACTAATAAATTAATCCTTGTGCAGCTAGATTAACCAACCCTGAACCAAATCCTTCAAAGGCTCTTCATTGCTTCTGCTCAAAGAAGAAAGGCTCACACTCCGAGGTCTTGCATTCACAGCCTTTCTCCACCAACCCCAATCTACACTCCTACTATATCCTTTCTGTGCTGGTCCACTCATCCACTCCCTGTTCCCCAAACACACCCTGTACCTTTGGCCTTCGAGTATTGCCTCAAGCTGTTCTCACCTAGAATGTCTTCTTTTTGCCCGACAAACCCAAGCCTACTCATTCTTTTTGTAAATTTTGTATTTTTTAATTATACAAAATAATGCACGACTACATTCTCTTTGGAAAAATATTCAAACAATATAGAAGATATATAGTAAAAACTGAAAGTCCCTATGAATTCTAGCCCTTCGCTCCCCTCTTCCACCACCTGTTGACTGCATTCACCTTCTCCCAATTTACTAGGTACCTTCCAGCTCTTTCTTTCTGCATTTAATATACACATACAGTTTTTGTTTATTTCATTTTTAGGTTAAACTATACACTTTGTTCCATGGCTAGTTTCCTCCTCTTCAAGGCCTATGTGAAATTTCCTCTCTCCCCTGAATCCCCCCTCACTACTTTAGCATCCTTCCTCCTCCTGCATTACCCTGTCTTAGACTTCTAACTCTTGACGTCCATGGCACTCTATTGGCTTCTCGTCCATCTCTTTATGACCCTGGGTTCTTGGACTCTTAGGACTGGAATGTAAAGTCTTTGAGGGAAGGAACTTATCTTTATCTTTTTGTGGTGTTTAGAACTGTATTATGCACAAAGTAGATATTCAAAACTATTTTACCAAGTAAGTGAACTCCAGGTTCCCCATTTCCTGATCTAAAGTGGGAAAGCTCCTCTTAAATGGTGAGAAAAATTTAAATGTACCCTAATGAAGTATTTAGAGTTTTCATAGCCTCTCCTAAGAATTCTCCCAATCTCTTCTACATAACAGGCTGGCAGATTTCTACAAATCAAGTGAGAAGAGCAGCAACTTTGTGAGAAATCAGAGACCCCAGGAGAAGCTGTTCTTCTCTGACCTCTCAGACCAAGGACAGCTCCACCAGTTAAATACTCTCAGGGCTGAAAATATTCTTACAGTGAAGGGACGATTACAGCACAGGCTGATGGGGAAAAGGGTTGTGAGGGAAGCACAGACTATTCCAAGAAAAACATACTCTCTCAGACTTTCTAGATCTAAAATTTCAACTCTCACTGAACGACTTCGCCAGTGGAATTGATCACTGGCGTAACAGCCACAGCAATTCGAAAACCTTTCACTTTTCCTTTTAACATAAAAATTATAAAGTCTAACTTGACATTCCCTTTAAAAAAGTTATTTTCTCAGATCACAGAGAAGGCAAAACAACCAATGTTACATATCTTGTGTTTAATTTTAAATACTGTCTCTTGAATAATTTACTTACTACTTCTTTGCCTCAGTTTATCTATCTATAAAATGAGTGTAACAATAGTGCCTATTTTTTTGGATTCTGAACATTAAATTGAAATAATCAAGTGCAGTATGTAGCAAAGTCTGACTCATAGCAAGTTTCCAAAAATGTTAGCTACGATGAGGACGATCATGTTATGGCTTCTCATGTCTATGTCAGGAGCTGAAAGAGTTTTCTTTCTTTTTTTTTTTTACAAACATATCTTTTTTTTAAAGATTGGCACCTGAGCTAACAACTGTTGCCAATCTTCATTTTCTTTCATTCTTCTCCCCAAAGTCCCCAGTACATAGTTGTATATTCTAGTTGTGAGTGCCTCTGGTTGTGCTATGTGGGAAGCCGCCTCAGTGTGGCCTGACAAGTGGTACCATGTCCACGCCCAGGATCCGAACTGGGGAAACTCTGGGACGCAGAAGCAGAGTGTGCGAACTTAACCACTCGGCTACAGGGCTGGCCCCTGAAAGGGTTTTCTACAAAGGACTTTAGCCAAAGAAGGCATACAAGAAAGAACACTGTTGAGCTGTTATAGTGGTGAACACTATGAGCAACATTTCTTGGAAAATTCTATTCAATTCCTTCAATCTCATTACAACGAATTTGCTTAGAATCTTTACTAAGCTATTGCTTGAAATAAATGGGCTATTAAATGGAAAAATCTCTTTTTGTTAGAAATTTCCTCCAAATTAGTATTAGTCATAACTGGATTTTATATTCCTTTTGACATCTTACATGTCTTCTATAATAGTCTCAATTATTAAGTGCAAATAACCAATGGAAAGGACCTAACTTAATATTTAATAAGTAAGGGTTTTGTTTTATAAAAAAAGTTGCTGTTGGACCTAAGGGGGAGCTTTTAAATCCTTCAATTAGACCATTAATCAAAACAGATAAAATTAGGGGCTGGCCCTGTGGCTGAGTGGTTAAGTTCTCACGCTCCACTTTGGTGGCCTGGGGTTCGCCAGTTTGGATCCTGGGCGTGGAGCTATGCACCACTCATCAAGCCGTGCTGTGGTGGCATCCCACATAGAGGAACCAGAATGACTTACAACTAGGATACACAACTATGTACTGGAGCTTTGGGGAGAAAAAAAAAGAGGAAGATTGGCAACAGATGTTAGTTCAGGGCCAATCTTCCTCACACACACACAACATTATTTTAGTTAATAACTACATACTTAGCTACTGCAGATAATCAAAATGGTTAAAATACTTCAAATTGCTAATTTTAGGGTCTCAAATAGTTATTGAAACACTCTAGACATACACAGGAAAAATCCAAAGCAATGAGCTAGTAAATTCTGATGCAAAGACAAGTGGTATCAATTGAGAATTTCAGGTCAAATTATTTGGTATTCAACTATTTACTTCACTTGAGCAACATCTATATAATAAATCAGCTTAGGTTATCTTAATAGTTACTGTGTGTTCGTGAATGTACAGGCTCAGGGCATAGGATCTGAGGTCAGAAAGATAAGGGTTTAAATTCCAACTTGGTAACCTCCCTGGTAAGTGAACTTGGGCAAATTGTTTAACCTCTCCAAGCCTCGGTTTCCTCATCCCTAAAATGTGGGTAACACCTATTTTGCTGGCTTGTACGGATAAAATGAGGTACTATATAGAACGAGCTTAACTGACACTTAGTAGATAGACATTGGATTCTTTCTTTTTTTATTAACCACTTCAGTTTCTAAGCTGTGATAATAAACAAGTAAATACATAATATATCAGATGGTGATAAGCACAGTGGAAAAGAGCAAAGTGGGAACCCTAAGGGTCTACCAATGGGGGAAGAGGTAGCTAAAATAAGAGAAAATGAAAAAATAGGGGGAGACATGGACAAGGTGGCTTAGCCTCAGTCCATGCTTGTAAATATTTTAAGACCCATGGGGCAAGCTGTGCTCTTTCCGCCTTCCTCGTTTCATGATTGTGACCATCATAATCAGGACACAGCCTGAATTTATGCAGGCAAGTAGAGAAGAGGAAGGAGTCAGGAACGAGGAGGTGGGGGAGCTGAGGCTTGGGGGACTAATGGAGGACTAACGTGCTGTAGGACCAGCCATGGCTGTCGGGTGGCCCTCTGTCCTGAAGGGGGGTTCCACTGGCCAGGCTACTTCCATTTCCCATTGGTACCCGACAATGCAGTCTAGAGGGTAAGTGGAGTTGTAGAAGCAGTTTCTTTTGATTATTAAAAATATACATTATTTTAAACATAAAATAACCACATTACAGAAAGCAGATAACCTAAATACAGAAAATTTGAAGGATTTAGAAAAAATAAACCACCTATAATCCCATTAGCCTAATGCATTTAACATCAGCATTTGGGTTAATTTCCTCCTAGTCTTTTCTCCTATGCATATTTAAAGATAACTGAAATCATACTGTCCACACAATTGTGAATCCTGTGCTTTTAAATACGACATGGTCTCAAAAGCATTTCCCTTGTTGCTAACCAAGTTTTCATAATTAACCTTTTAACATGTGAACAGTATATCATTGAGTAAATGAACAATAATTTACTTAACTATCTCCTTATATTGTTAGATGTTTAGAATCTTTCCAATTTTTTATTATAAATATCACATCAATATACCTTTTCCTGCATATTTTAGATTATCTTCTTAGAATTGATTTTCAGAATTTTCAAAATATAAAATGTTCCAGTTCATCAACATTTTATGACTCTTCGTGTTTACTGCCAAATTGCTTTTCAAAGGGATTATATCAATGTACAGTCCCAAGAATGGTGTGTGAGAGTGACAAACCTCACTGCACCCTTGAAAACATTGGATAATTACATTATTAATTTTTTTTTACAGCTTCAATTTCCAGGCTGTGATAATAAACAAGTAAGTACATAGTATGTCAGATGATGAAAAGATGTTCACAATGGCGGACAGTAAAGTGGGGAGAGGGGAAAGTGACAAGGGGGGTTGGTGGTTGCTGTTTTTACGTAGGATGACCAGGAAAGGCCCTTCTTAAAAGGTGGCACTTCAGTAAGAGCTGAAGAAAGTGAGGCAGTGAGGTGTGAGCATTGTCTGAGGAAAGAGGGTTTCAGGCAGAAAAAACACCAAGATAGACCCTGAGGCAGATTTAAGATGGGCAGTCTTTGAGAAACAGCAAGGGGGCCAGGTTGCTCCCATCCATTGGGAAGATGGGGGCATGGAAGGAGATAAGATCAAAGGGAAAGCAGGCAGCCAGGACATGGAAGGCTTTATCGGTCATTGTAAGGATTTTTCTTTTATTTTGAGTAGGACGGGAAGGTATTAAAGGGTTTTGGAAAGAGAAGAGTCAAGAACTGATTGTGTTTCATGTGATTAGCTGATGTGTTCAGAACAGACTAAATATGCTCAAAACCAAACTCAGTGTCTTTCCTGGCAAACCTCCTACCTTCTCAGCATCTCCATTCTCTGAATCATCAGTATTCAAAATCTCAGTCATCTTTTGCATCTCAGAACTAATCAACACCAAACCCTGTCAATTCTCCCTCCAAAATGTCTCTTGTATCTGCCTTGTCTATCCATTCCCATTGTCCAAACCTTACCATAACGATTTTCTAAATGATCTCCCAGCCTTCTATCTTTCTGCTCTCCACTCATACCACTCAGTGCTGTCAGCAGTCATCCAAGCAAAGTGGATTATTCGTGGGTCTGCTCTTTATCTTTGCTGCCTCCACCCCAACAATAAGGTCAAAATTCTTTGGAATGAAATTCAAGCTCTACCACAATCTGATTCTAATCTAGGGGTCAAAACTTATCTCCCATTATTACTTAGAATTAACTGTGCCTTCCTGTCTAACAAGTTTCCTGAACCAGCTCTGCACTTTCTTACCGTATACCTTTGCTCACATTGTCTCCCCTTCCTTGAACCTTCTGTTGAAAACACTCTTCAGCCCCACCCAGAAATCCTGCCCATACTTCTTGGACCACCCCAAACATCACTTTCTTCACGAAGTCATCCTCAAGCTCCCTGGCTGGAGTTAAGCTCATTTCCTTTTGTGCGCCCATAAATTCTACTCCATTACCCACACATTCTGTACCATATTACACCATGGTTTTGTGAATATGTTCTTTTGTTACTAAGCGATAAGTTCCTTAAGGATCCATATCTTATTTGTCTTTGTATCTCCGACATCACTTACTATAATGCCTTGAACATAGTAGGTGTCTAATAAATGTTTGTGGAACTTAAATTCCCCAAGGCTTTGTTGCTAATTTATTGTTGAAACACAACTAGAATTCGGGTCATCTGATTCCCAGCTCCATATACCTTTCCCAATACCATCCTATCTTTCTGACTTCTTCTTTCTATAGTTCATTGTCTTCTCATCTGAAGAACATTTGAAACCACTAAGGAATTTTAAGGAAGGATGACTAAACAAAAAACAAATGCTGGAATTTATTTTCCATGTAGCTATTTAAACCAAAGTGAACCTAATTTAAGGGCACTAAATTTTGACTCTGAATTAAAAAATAAGAATAAAAAAACATCATGCATACACACCTAGAGACTTTTTAGCTTCTTATATTTTGATTTTTGAGCAGCACTTAAACTTTTAGGAGTCAGGTTGCCACGTTTCTTGGTATGCTGTAAATTTGTAGTGGGGGGGAAAGAAAAAAGTGTGTGTGATTTTGCTTAACAACTGTCAGCAACATTTCTAGCCCCTAAGAATATGAGAGGGTTTAAAATTTGGCATGAGAGCCTGAGGCAAACAATAATTCCCAATTATCTCAATCCTTCCTATCTTGGAAAAACAGCTCAAGGAACTAGTGTCCTAACCTGGGCTTCCCCTTTGGTCGTTGAAATTAAATCGGTCAATTATACACATGATACATGTTATACATAAGTACATGTAAAATGAGAATAAAATTAAGTCATAGTATTTAAAATATAGTAATAGCTAGGATTAATATGCACATATGAGAATTCTTTTAGAGTGACGAACACTGATGTCTCAGGAAAAGAAAGACATGACTGAGTCAAAACATGTATTTTACAGAATGGTTTAAGGAAGTAAGGAGAAAAAAAGAAGTGGAATGACTCTTTTTCTCCTAAATAGTTCTGCCTTCTTC